TATCAACATAGCACATTCTTTTTTTCATGATAGAATGCAAAAAGCTCCTGAAATTTCTCAAAATTAAAATTAAGTACTAAATAACATAGATCATTGCAGGGTCGAATATTTGTTTTGCCTGTTTTATGTATTGCTGAATATTGTACATTACTAGTGTCAGTGGAAACGGAGCAAGAAAAAAATAGCACCAGAGTCGACATCACCTGAAAGTGTAGTTGAGTTCACAAGCGGATAAAGTGAGACTCGTCAAGTTTTGCTAAACTATAATAAGAGAGCAATGTTTTATAGAAACGACCTTTAGCACATGTTACCTAGGATGAAGATGATAGAGAGAGGATGGAAAGTATTTCCCATCTATCGAATGTTATTTTACGTTCGTAAATCAAGTTTTTTGATATCGATTATCTTCGAACACACTTTTTAAATAATGACTTTGTTTTTTACAAAAGTACTCTGAGAAACGACTGCCTATTTTGATCATTTATTAAATATTGTAGAATCTGTCAAAATGACTCAAAGCTTCTCCTCAAAGTGGATCCCAAACAAGGATCAGAGTAAGACAGTCACCAATACTGATGAGGTTGCTCGAAAAGTAATCATATTTTAATTATTTATCAAGTATGTATAAAGTAATGAAATTCAATGAAATTCTAGTTAGAAGCTGCTTATGGTATCAAATCAGGCTCGATTCATATCAATACGATTGTGATCAATAGTGGTAAAGCAAATGCTGATGATCATCTTCATCAACCTGACACAAAACAACGTAAAATGTGCGTCTTCATTTTTCATGTTATTTTCCTACAGTGTACCTATTGTCAATACTAATCTAACTCTATTTCAGACCTACATGTGATCAGTTGAAATCTCATCTCTCAATCGTAGAAATAAACTTTGATGTAGTTTATCAGAAAAACTGTGGCGCATATAGGCCTTGCAAAAACAATTATACCCGTGTTATCCAAGCTCATATGGAGGCATTTAATATTACAAGTATTTCAGTTGAATTAAAATTTGACGACGGAAACTCCAGTGAACTTGTGTTGACCACATGCAAGAAAACTACTAATTCATCATTAAATTCTTTATTACGGTCACGACGAGCTCCTCCAAGCGCTACAACAAACGGTAAATAGCTTTATGTTCCATAAGTTTTTTGTGTGTGTTACCGCTAATTGTTTTGCTATTTAGTTTTGAGAACTTAAATTAGTAGCGAAAGTAAAAAGAAATCGAATGTTCTACAATTTTGTTCTGGTTTAATGTTCAAAATCTACAGTTTGATCAACAAGCTCACCCTAATATTTAAAAACCTTTGATAGTGCACAATGAATCACTGAAAAGTCATATATGACATATTATGGGATGTCATTATCGACAATCTAGTGCTCCAATAAACATATGATGCTATGAATCATGATCAAACTTTTCGTAAACGTCTCGTTTTGTATAAAATTCGAATCGAGATAAAAATATTCACTCAGTAAAACTAGTTATGCACGAATTGAGCAGTCTTTTTCTTTGGAGAAATTTGGTATCAATAGATTCTTTGTTTGATAAATACTTAATTATGAGTTCAACAATGTCTATGTATTCCAATCTTCACTCTCTCAAGTTTCCATTCTGCTGGACTTTGCAAAGAAACAACACTTTTATGCTCAATATTTTGAAAAAAAAGCATGAAAAAAGTAAAAACAATAGAAAACCTTCGCTAAAACTTTCTATACTTGGAAAACAGATATTTAAAAACAAATACTTGACAAAAACCAATCTATATCAAAATAATTTTACTCTATAAAGTGAAAACATTATTATGAAATGGAAAATTCATCTGACAGAATCAAAACATCATACAGTTTGCGACATGAACATTTATTACATAAAAATTTCTGGGGCCGTAAACTTGAATCATAAGACTTCTTGATTTCTTTCCCATATATCCTGCGACTAACCAACTGTTTTTACTTCCAGCTCCGACATGTAGTGACGGTGAGAAAAATCAAAATGAGAGCGACATCGACTGCGGAGGCATATGCGTGAGTCAAGGTTATCAGTGTGATACTGATCAGAAGTGTAATCAAGATTCGGATTGCAAAAGCAACCACTGTCAAGGACGTAAATGTGCTGGTAAGTACTCTACTCTCTCTAGAAATGAAACACATCTTGTTTTCATATCTCTGATATATAACCATAGTATTAAAAATATGGATGTGCAGTTCACGCTCATGAGCTCGAGCTTTCTTTTTGTTTTGAATGGGGGAGGAAAGTTACAGTTACTCGCCAGTTACGTCATCAGATAACTACGTAGTAATGAATACTTTCTGATTATATCAAACAAATGGTACTTCTTTAACAATAGCGATTTTTTAGAACGCCTGATCAAATATCATTTGTTTTTTGAAATTCGTCATTCTAACATCTCAATAGTGGGAAAGGATGTTGGGCAGCTAATAAATGGCAATTTTCGAGAGACCGATTACGTTCGGTCAACTTTAATAAGAAAGATCGTTATTTTTAGAAAGTTGCCTTGCGTTTGATGAACTCGCAAACTTTCCATTACTAGCTACTTAGCAACATAACTGAAGAGTAAATTGCTTTCTCTGTTCAAGACAGAGAAAAAAACTCACGCACATGAGTTTCGGCTGTACATCGCTAACTAAAAGCTTGTGAATATGACCTCATGCAGGTCCGAGGTACGTAGCTCACATGCTTTGAATGTAATAGATGTATTGTTTATAATTCAAAAGTTAAAATAACTTCTTTAAAAACAGCAAACAAATGAAAACGTGAAAACTATCATAATTTTCATAGATGGTCACATGCCCTCAGAAATTTAGTCATTTCAAAAATGTTTGTATTTAGAATTTTTGTTGTACAATTTTATAAGATTTTTTGAACATCATTATATTCAGAAACTTGTTTCTATTGTCAGAAAGATTTTCAATAAATAAGTTCTTTTCTATCGCAAATAATATATATATGAGTGAAGAGCGCACCAATGGCACCGTTGGGTCTCGGAAAGAAAAACGTCTATAAGTTCAGTTTCACTCAACCGGTTTTTGATATTTTTTTTTATTTTGTAAGTTTAGAGATGAGCATTCATTTCTGAAAAAAATCAGGTTTTCATCTCTTTTAGTTTATGAGATATCATAGCAACAGTGTAAAATATCTAGCTTCTAACGCCACCTGATGGACGATCAATTTTTCTTTATTCCATTGTAATTTTCTTTAAATTATGTTTTTAGTTAGACAAGTAGAGCTCGTCAAGCGCTTTCAGAATATGTTATTACTTGTTTGCTTTAGAAGAAGTTCTATGAATGAAAAGCTATCGACAATGCGTGTTAAGATGCTTCCAATTTTTGTGTGGAGAAACATTGATATCATTGGTATTTCCTTTGAAGAAATTTCATTTGAACAAATTTGCTTGGATATCAAAGAGAACTGGAAGACAACACTTTGACACGCAAAAAGGTTGTCTGATAAACTTCGTTACCAGACAAATTTTATACAAAGTTGAAAAATAATTGTGCTCACAATAAATGTAGAGCGACATTTTCAATTTTATCATTGCTATAACTCAATGAAAAGTAAACTGTTTACGATAAAAATTTGATAGTTTTTTCAACTCATAGAGTAGATAAATAACACAAAAAAAATCAAGCAAACTCTTTTTCTGTTCGAGAGAAAATTCAGTTTTACTAACAAAGTGTGAAGTGGCTTTAGTGGAACTAATTGATACACTAAACTGCTGGACCATATATCAATTGGCTGTGATATCATGAATCTCTACCATAGTGCATGGAAATGTTGGAAAAATATTATTTTTATACACATTCCATATCGCTCTATTAAATACAACACTTATTTTCCCTTTATCATTAAGTTTATTGTTTTCGATTTTTTTCCGACCGATACTATTCGTGCGCTCTTCCCTCAAATATATACATTGATTTAATCGCTCATTGAGCTTTCGATAGCATCACCTTTCCTTTGAACAAGCTTGGTATAAACGGTTGAGTTTTCTCTCCATCATGATTTTAACTAGTGCATACCTTTGTATGTCCATCCTCTCGTGACATAGCTAGATCAACAATACCACATCCTAGTGATTCACATTGGCGAACAGATTCTTTCTTCTGCATTAAATATCAAAACAATGATATTCAAAATAGCTAGAATCTACTATGGTATCTTGAGTTCAATAAATGTTTTCAAAACTTAGAGAGTTCCCGAACGATCTAAAAAAGTGATAATAGTATTTGCCAACACTACTACGAAAGTATATCCAACGGCCTTCGACATTTTGTTGTTCGTCTCTATTTTTTAGGGCCTATAAAATAATTAAGGAGATGGGTAGAAACACACAACTCTCAATTAAAACTTACACTATCGGCCTCTCAGATCCAAGCCTATCAGAGCGATTGTTAAACTAAAGTCGCCTCTTGCAACTTAAAAATCCAATATTCCCACTCTTACTATAGTTCCTCGATAAAGATCCTCCTCTTGAAGTCAAAACCAGCGCTTTTAAACATGCACATACTTCAACGTATTTCCTACTATGTAGAACATTCCCATGCAAACATTTATCTTTTATTTCCCGAAAATTCTCTTGCATACTCTCTGTCTCACAAATAAAGATGACTATGGTAACTATATTCATTGCATAAGCGTTTTGTAACAAAAAAAAAATATCAAAAATCCTCATTATGCCAAATCAGCTATTGAAACCTTCTACACAACTTGCTGAGAACACCGATTGTTGGAAACGTTAAATCTCCCTTACCTATATCACCATAGCCGGACCCATCACAACACCTACGACGACAAAAATCACCACAGTTACTACACAGACTACCACCATCACACAACAAACGACCACTACAAGCACAACCATGCCACTAATATCCACTACCGACACACAAACACCGAACGATATTACTACAACTACAGTAACAACGACAGTACCAACCACACCTACATCACAAACTACGATCCCAAACCTAATGACAACAAATTCACATACTACAACATCGCCCTCGCCGATGATACAAACCACCACAGCAGAGATAATCTCAAGTCCTGACACCACAGCTACTGCTGTCCCCACCACCACCGCCATACCAACCCCCAGTGGAAGAACCATTACTGAGACAGCATCGCAACAGACAGACACTAATACTGATATCACCAACGCAGCAGCACTACCTGCAGACCTCTCCATCACAAGTCAGGCCACAGCTGTCACTGCACAAACAACCAGTGCGCAGTCATCGACGGCAACACTACATGCTACAGAGACCACTGCTCACAAACTACTGGAAGCACCAACCACAGCAGCAGACACTAGCGAAACACTCACTACACAAAAAGTTATACAATTGTCAACAACTACACACCCAACTGCCTCACAACTGGCAACAACAGCTGCTGCTGCAACTACAGACAATCCAGAAACTCTAAATGCCCATATTTCCACCGAACAATCAGAAGCTGCGGAGGCAACAACCACAGCTCCAGCAATTCCATCCGAAACACAAACTAACAAGATATTGTTGCAACAATCGGACACTACAGAAGGGCAACCGCCAGCCACACAAGCCGCCACTACACCAACTCCAAGTCCTCCGACAGCGACCCAAAAATCGATACATCCCGAAGGTACTGGTCAACAGACAGTAACAACAGCTGGAGTAGCAGCCGACACCGGAACATCAAGTGCTCCCACAGTCATGCAAACATCAGTACCTGCCATAGCCGCAGCTTCAGAACCAGCAACGACAGTCACCACAGCAGCGAATACCGAAACTTCACCTATTCAGACTGTCCCCGAAGTAACGACAGTCACCGCAGCAGCGAATACTGAAACACAAAGTATCCAGATAGAGATGAAAATATCCACACCTCAACAGGTAACTGAACCGGATGTCGTGTCAACAGCAACCGCCGCGGTACCCACTACCGGTACCACTAGCGCACAGAGAGCGCCGCAACCATCAACAGCCGCAGAGGCTATTTCTCCACAACTAGCAGTCACAACTGAGGCGGGAGCAGCAACTGCAGAAACACCTAGTGCTCAGAGAGCGACGGTACCATCAATAGCTACCGAGCCTATATCTCTGGAACTAGCAGCAACAACTGCGGCAGCACCCGCTACTGCAGGACAACTGAGTACCCAACTCGCGACTAAACCATCCAACGCTCCTGAGGTTATATCTCGGGAACAAGCAGCAACAATTCCCGCAGCGACAGGAGCTTCTAACACACCTAGTACTCAAACAGCGACAGAACCATCAACAGCTGCAGAGACTACTTCTCCGAAGCTACCAGGAACAATTGCTGCAGCAGCAGACACTCCCCAAACATCTAGTGCCCAGATATCGACAGAACCATCAATAGCTTCCGAGACTATTTCTCAGGAACAAACAGCAACAACTGAGGCAGCAGCAACTCCAGAACTAGCTGATGCCCAGAGACCCACGGCACCATCAACAGCCGTAGAGTCTACTTCGCCGCAAGTAGCAGCAACTCCAGGAACACCTAGTGCACAGATTACGACTGAACCATTTACAGCTACCGTGACTATTACTGGGGAACAAGCAGGAACAACTGTCGGAGCGTCAGCACCTCCAGAAACACCAAGTGCACCAATAGCGACGCCACGATCCGCAGCAGCTGCCACTATCTCTCTTGAACTAGCAGCAACACCTGATACCTCGCCAGCAACTCTAGAAACACCTACTGTCCAGATAACCACTGAACCATCGACAACTACAGTGACTATTACTCGTGAACAAGCAGCAACAACTATCGACACAGCAGCAACTTCCAAAAGTCCTAGCGTACAGATAGCGACGGGATCATCAGCAGCTTCCGAGACTGTTTCTCTCAAAGAAGTAGGAACAACTCCAGCAGCAGGAACGCTACAAACACCGAATGCCCTCATAGGGACGGAATCATCAGCAACTTCCGAAACGGTTTCACTCAAACAACCAGGGACAACTCAAGCAGAGGGAACTGCACAAACACAGAGTCCGCAGATAGTGACAGAAGCATCAACAGCATCCCAGACTCTTTCGATCAAACAACCAGCAACAACTCAGTCAGCGGGAACTCCAGAAACACCGAGTGCCCAGATAGAAAAAGAATCATCGACAGCTGCCGACACTGTTTATCTCAAAGAACCAGGAACAACTCAATCAGGAGGAACTGCACAAACACTAATCGCGCAGATAGTGACGGAAGCATCGACAGCTTCCCAGACTATTACTATCGAAGAACCGGCAAAAACCGAGGCAGCAGGAACTCCACCAACACCAATTGCACAGACAGTGACGGAACTATCAACAGCCTCCCAGACTGTTTCTCTCAAAGAAACAGGGACAACCGAGGCAGCAGGAACGTCACAAACATCGAGAGCCCAGAGCGTGAGTCAAGCATCAAGAGCTTCTCAGACTGTTTCTATCAAAGAACCGGAAACAACTGAGGCAGCAGCAACTCCACAAACACCGAGTGCGCGGATAGCGACTGAAGCATCAACAGCTTCCCAGACCGTTTCTCTCACAGTCATAGGCAAACCTGAAGCACCAAGAACCCCACAAACACCAAGTACCGAGATACTGAAGGAACCGTCAACAGCCTCCCAGACAGTTTCTCTCAAAGAACCAGGAACAACACAAACAGGAGCAACTGCAGAAACGCCGAGTACACAAATAATGACGGAAGGATTCACAGCGTCCAAGACGACTCCTATCAAACAACAAACAACAACCGAGGCAGCAGGAACTCCACCAACACCAAGTGCCCAGATACTGACGGAACAATCAACACACTCCCAGAGTGTTTCGATCAAACAAGCAGGACCAACAGAGGCAGCAGGAACGTCAGAAACACTGAGTGCGCAGATAGTGACCGAAGCATCAACAACTTCTCGCACTGTTTCTATGAAACAACCGGAAACAACTGAGGCAGTAGCAACTGTACAAACACAGAATGCGCCGACAGTGACTGACGCATCAACAGCTTCCGAAACGGTTCCTCTCAAAGAACCAGAAACAAGTGAGGCAGCAGGAACGTCACAAACACCAAGTGTCCAACTAGCGACGGAATCATCAGCAACTTCAGAATTGGTGTCCATCAAAGAACCAGGAACAACGCAAGCAGAAGGAACCGCACAAACACCAACTGCACAGATAGTGCTGGAAGCATCGACAGCTGGCCAGACTATTACTATGAAAGAACCAGCAACAACACCGGCAACAGGAACTCCACAAACGCCGAGTGCCCAGATAGCGACGGAATCATCAACAGCTTCCCAGAGTGCTTATCTCAAAGAACTAGGAACCACTCAAGCAGTAGGAACGCCACAATCACCAAGTACCCTAATAGGGACGGAATCCTCAGCTGCTTCCGAAGCGGTTTCTATGAAACAACCAGGAACAAGTGAAACAGAAGGAACTGCACAAACACCGAGTTTGCAGATAGTGACTCAAGCATCAACAGCTTCCGAGACTCTTTCGATCAAACAACTAGCAACAACTCAGTCAGCGGGAACTCCAGAAACACCCAGTGCCCAGATAGAAAACGAATCATCGACAGCTTCTGACACGGTTTCTCTCAAAGAACCAGGAACAACTCAATCAGGAGGAACTGGACAAACACCAAGCGGGGAGATAGTGACTGAAGCATCAACAGCGTCCCAGACTGTTACTATCGAAGAACTGGTAAAAACCGAGGCAGCAGGAACTCCACCAACACCAATGGCACAGATACTGACGGACCTATCAACAACCTCCCAGACTGTTTCTCTCAAAGAAACACTAACAACTGAGGCAGCAGCCACGTCACAAACACCGAGAGCCCAGAGCGTGACTCAAGCATCAAGAGCTTCTCAGACTGTTTCTATCAAAGAACCGGAAACAACTGATGCAGCTGCAACGCCAGAAACACCCAGTGCGCCAATAGTGACTGCAGCATCAACCGCTTCCCAGACCGTTTCTCTCAAACAAGTAGGTACAACTGAAGCTGCAGGAACGTCAGAAACACCGAGTACCGAGATAGTGAAGGAACCATCAACGGCCACCCAGACTGTTCCTCTCAAAGAACCAGAAACAAGTGAGGCAGCAGGAACGTCACAAACACCAAGTGTCCAACTACCGATGGAATCATCAGGAACTTCCGAATTGGTGTCTCTCAAAGAACCAGGAACAACGCAAGCAGAAGGAACTGCACAAACACCGAGTGCACAGATAGTGATGGAAGGATCAACAGCTTCCCAGACTATTACTATCGAAGAACCGGCAAAAACCGAGGCAGCAGGAACTCCACCAACACCAATGCCACAGATAGTGTTGGACCTATCAACAGCCTCCCAGACTGTTTCTCACAGAGAAACACTAACAACTGGGGCAGCAGCCACGTCACAAACACCGGGGGCCCAGAGTGTGACTGAAGCATCAACAGCTTCTCAGACTGTTTCTATGGAACAGTCGGAAACAAGTGAGGCAGCTGCAACTTCACAAACACCCAGTGCGCGGATAGTCACTGAAGCATCAACAGCTTCCCAGACCGTGTCTCTCAAACAAGTAGGTACAACTGAAGCTGCACAAACGCCACAAACACCGAGTGCCGAGATAGTGAAGGAACCATCAACAGTCACCCAGACTGTTTCTGTCAAAGAACCGGGAACAACGCAAGCAGAAGGAACTACACAAACACCGAGTGCACAGATAGTGACGGAAGGATTAACAGCTTCCCAGACTGTTTCTATCAAGCAACCAGCAATCACTGAGGCAGTGGGAAGTCCACAAACACCCAGTGCCAAGATAGAAAAGGACTCATTGACACTTTCCGACACTGTTTTTCTGATAGAACCCGGAGCAACGCAAACAGGAGAAAGTGCACAAACCGCGACCACGCAGATAGTGGCGGAAGGATCGACAGCTTCCCAGGCTAATACTCTCAAGCAACCAGCAACAACTGAGGCAGCAGGAACTCCACAAACGCCGATTGCCCAAATGGCGACGGAATTCTCCACAGCGTCGCAAAGTGTTTCTCTGATAGAACTAGGAACAACTCAAACAGGAGAAACTACTGAAGCACCGAGTGCACAAATAGTGAGGGTAGGATCCACACCTTCGAAAACTGCTTCTATCAAACATCCTGTAACAACCGAGGTAGCAGGAACACCACCAACACCAAGTGCCGAGATAGTGACACAACAATCAACAGCCTCCCACACTGTTTCCATCAATCAAGCAGGAACAACTGAGGGAACAGGAACGTCAGAAACAACAGGTGTTCAAACAGCAACGGAATCATCAGCAGCTTCGACGATTGTTTCTCTAACAGACTCGGGAACAACTCAAGCCGGAGCAGTGACACAACCACGTACGGCCCAGACAGGGACGGAATCATTAACAGCTTCCGATAGTGTCTATCTCAAAGAACCAGAAACAACTGAAAGACCACGAACTGCAGAAACAGCGAGTGGACAGATAGTGACTGAAGTATCGACAGCTTCCCAGGCTGTTTCTCTGAAACAATCAGCAACAACCGACGCAGCAGGAACTCCACCAACACCAAGTGCCCAGATAGTGACGGAATTGTCAACAGCTTCCGAGACCGTTTCTCTCAAAAAAGTAGGAACAACGGAACCAGTAGGAACGCCACAAACACCGATTCCCGTGACATGGACGGAGCCATCAACAGCTTCCGAGAGTGTTTATCTTCTAGAACCGGCAACAACTCAAGGAGGAAGAACTGCAGAAACACCGAGTGCACAGATAATGACGGGAGGATCGACACCTTCCCAGACTGTTTCTATCGAACAGGTAGGAGCAACTGTGGCAGCAGGAACGTCACAAACACCGAGTGCCCAAATAGCGACTGAAGCATCTGCAGTTCCTCAGGCTGTTTCGACCAAACAACCGGCAGCAACTGAAGCAGCAGAAACTCCACAAGCACCGAGCGCCGAGATAGTGATGGAACCATCAACAGGCTCCCAGACTATTTCTCTCCGGGATCGAGAAACAACTCAGGCAGTAGGAACGTTGCAAACACCAAGTGTCGAAATGGCGACGGAATCATCAGTAGCTTCCGAGACTGGTTCTCTGAAAGAACCGGAAACAACTCAAGCCGCAGAAACTCGACAAACGCCGAGGGCGCAAATCGCGACGGAATCATCAGCGGCTTCCGAAACGGTTTCTCTGAAAGGAGCAGGAACAACGCAAGCTGAGGGAACTGCACAAACACCGAGTGCGCAGATAGTGACTGAATCAACAATAGCTTCGCATAGTGTTTCTATCAAGGAACTAGCAACAACTCAGGCAGGGGAAACTCCACAAACACCGAATGGACAAATAGAAAAGGGATCATCAACAGCTTCCGACACTGTTTATCTCAAAGAACCAGGAACAACTCAAATAAGGGGACGTGCACAAACACCAACACCAACTGCGCAGATCGTGGCTGAAGCATCGACAGCTTCCCCTACTATTACTATCAAAGAATCAGAAACAACCGAGGTATCAGAAACTCCATCAATACCAAGTGTGCAGACAGTGACGAAACAATCAACAGCCTCCCAGACTGTTTCGATTGAACAAGCAGGAACAACTGAGGTAGCAGGAACAACTGGGGCAGCAGGAAGGTCACAATCACCGAGTTCCCAGATAGCGACGGAATCATCAACAGCTTCCGAGAGTGTTTATCTGAAAGAGCCAGAAACAACTCAAAGAGGAGGAACTGGAGAAACATCGAGTGCACAGATAGTGACGGAAGGATCGACAGCTTTTCAGACGGTTTCTATCAAACAACCAGCAACGACTGAGGCGGCAGCAACTCTACAAACACCGAGTTCCCCTATAGCGACTGTATCATCAACAGCGTCCGAGACGGTTTCTCTGAAGGAACCAGCAACAACTGAGGTTACAGAACCTCCGGAAATCCCCAGTGCCCATATTCCGACGGAATCATCAACAACTAGCGGGACTGTTTCTCTCAAAGAAGTGGGATCAACTGAAGGAGCAGGAACGTCACAAACATCGGGTGCGCTGATAATGACGGAATCATCAACAGCTTCGGAAACTGTTTCTCTCAAAGAACCAGAGACAACTGAAGCTGGAGAAACTACAGAAACAGCTAGTTTGGTGCTTGCCACTTCATCATCAGCAGGTTCCGAGACTATTTCTCTGAAACAAACAGCAACAACTGAGGCAACAGGAACTCCACAAACACGAAGTTCCCCGATAGCGTCGGAATCATCAACAGTGTCCGAGACTGTTTCTGTCAAGCTACTAGCAACAACTGAGGTTGCAAAACCTCCACAAATACCAAGTGGCCAGGTTGAGACGGAATCATCAACAAGTACCGGGACTGTTTCTCTCGAAGAAGGAGGAACAACTGTAGCAGCAGGAAGTCCACATACATCGAGTGCGCAGGCAGTGACGCAAGCATCAACAGCTTCGCAGACTTTGTCTATTAAACAACAAGCAACAACTGAGACAGTAGGAACCTCAGAAACACCGAGTGCCCAGATAGCAATAGAATCATCAACAGCTTCGGAGACTCTTTCTCTCAAAGAATCGGGAACAACTGAACGAACGGGAACGCCGCAAACGCCGAGTGATCTGTTAGCGACGGAATCATCAACAGCGTTCGAGACTGTTTCTCTGAAGGAACCAGCAACAACTGAGTTTGCAGAACCTCCTCAAATACCTAGTGGCCTGATTGCGACGGAATCATTACCAACTACCGGGAGTATTTCTCTCAAAGAACTAGGAATAGCTGAAGCAGCAGGAACGCCACAAACACCGAGTCCCCTGATAAGGACGGAATCATCAACAGCTGCAGGAGGTACTTTGCCGGAGCTAGCAGGAACGACTGATAGAGCAGCGACTCCACAAACACCGAGTTCCGCTATAGCGACGGAATCATCAACAGCTTCCGAGACTACTTCTTGGAAAGATCGAGGAACAACGGAAGCAGCAGGAACTCCACAAACATCTAGTGGCCACGTATCGACGGAATCATCAATAGGTTCGGAGGCTGTTTCTATGAACCGACCAGCAACAACTGAGGCAGCAGGAACTCCTGAAACACCTAGTGTGCAGATTGCGGCGGAATCGTCAACAGCGGTACAGGGTACTTCTCTGGAGCTAGCAGCAGCAACTGGGGCAGGAGGAACTCCAAAAACACCTAGTGCCCAGATAGCGACGGAACAATCAACAGCGGTAGAAACAACTGTTCTTGTTCTAGGAGGAACAACTGTGGCAACGGCAGCGATACCTGAAACACCAAGTGCTCAGAGAACGACGGAACGAATAACAGGTTTAAATGACGCTGAAACCCCAGCAGCTGTAGCGGCAACTTCAAGTTCTGAATTAAGTAGTACAGCAACAGGAACAAGTCTAGTAAATAGAGAAGGTACAGTTGCTTCTACGGAGAGTGTGGCAACTTCTCTGAAAACGACAACAGCTCAACGTATGGTAGCAGCTTTGATTACGTCGGCTGAGAAACTTGTCGGTAGTACTGTTGAAACCACGAGAGAAAGTACAGTTAGGACGAGTACTGGAAGTAGCGAAACAACAGCTGCTAGTTTCTTTGGAGCTCTGATCGTAAGACCCCTGAACAGGGTGGTCGTTAGAAGAACAACAACGGTTGCGACAGAGACACAGGAACGCATGGAAATCGCTAACGCTGGTAAGTACTATCCTTAGTTAAAGATAGCTGCTTCTGGCTGTTTGCTAGTTAGATCCTTTTGAAGTATGGAAAATTATTTATTGATTGCTCTATCAAAATTTCAGCATAGTAGGAGCTCACTGTTTCAATTATATCGGTGGTACGGGTAGTTGGTAGTGCTGCTAGTGGTCGGAGACGTTTTTTGTCAAAGTGAGAAGGCATTGATATTAGCGGTTTCCGACTTCTATGTTTGTCAATGTGTCGGTATGCTTACTAGGTGTGAAAAGGATGTGTTCGTGAAACGAGCAGTGATTTCTCAGTGTGTGTTATGGTTATTTTGAGCTAACAAATTAAATTGGTTTTTAATAGGTAAAAGAACTCTCTTTCGAGAAGTTTTGGGAATCAAGTTATGGAAACTGTTGAATTTTTTTTAGCGGTATATACTTCTGGGAGATGACGATAATTCGTCAGGTTGTTTTGAGGAAGGCTTTGTGATGTTGAACCTAGTATTCACTAGAATCCGGTAGTATTTGGACTATTATCGACGGCAAAATAGAAGGCAAGTGGCTATTTCTTTTTGTAACTTTTGATAGAAACGAGATAGAGACCTGTGGTTTTCAGCACTGGAAGGAAAATTATTTTCTTCATAAGAGTAAGGCAAAATCTGAGTGGTCATCCATTGACTAAGCAGGTTATCGGCACGGTCAACATTTTGTAAATGGTATTGTGAAAGTTTTTCCCATTGCACTTTGACTTGAAATTCAATCATGAGATAGAAAAAATTGTTCTCTTTCGATCTACGCAAGGCCGAGCTCTCTAGCTTGTTTCGTTCAGGAGTTATTGAAGTTTTCCGGACACCCCCGAAATCGACCAAACGAGCTCCAACCGCTCCAGGATGGATCTAGACAAGGGTAATCGACCAAGCTGAGTCGAGTGGTAACATTTTTTTTTTATTTTCAAAGTTGTCTGAAACCAATATACCACTGTTTTCGATAATGTCACTCAATAGCCAAGTAAGCGTGAAAATGATGGAATGTTATATGCGAGTATCGCAACACCAGACAACTTCGAAAATGAAAACAAATGTTACCATTCGACTGAGCTTGATCGATTACCCATGTCCAGATCCATTCTGGCTCTATTGGAGCCAAAATGGTCGATTTCGGGGGTCTCGCTAAAACATCGATAACTCCTGAACGAAACAAGCTAGAGAGCTCGGCCTTGGGTAGATTCAAAGAGAACAATTTTTTCTATCTAACGATTGAATTTCAAGTCAAAGTGCAATGGAAAAAACTTTCACAATACCATTTACAACATGTTGACCATACCGTTCACCTGATTGGTCAATGGATGACCAATAAGATTTTGCCTTACTTTTATGAAGAAAATAATTTTATTTCTAATGCTGAAAACCGCAGGTCTCTATCATGTTTCTATCAAAAGTTCTTAAAAAAAAAGCCACCTGCTTTATATTTTGGCGTCGATATTAGTTGAGGTGAATAAGTTTTTAGGATACACTGTGAAAGCTCGTGTGACGTGTTTTAAGCTGCTTTCATCGAATAAGGGTTTTCGCATCATGAAAGAACAGAAAATACGTGAACAATTTGTAGTCGAGTGATTCTTAGAAGTTAGGTCATTCAATTCGACGTAAAATCAAGTCAAGTTTTATTACTTGATACATTCCCTAGTCGAACCTTTTTTTCGCAAAAATGACATGCACAACCTTCAAAATTTGTTCATAGCGCCTCACATCCTTGCTGAAGAAGCTCAAGTATTTCATGCATATCCCACACTATGTTTCATTTTGGTCATTCTAAGGGAAAACTTTGTCTAGATAACAATTATTTTAGGGAAAATAATATTCAAGTAATTGTCACAGGTAAATGTCATTTAATTTCTTGTCTTCCTTTGGTCCAATCGAAGGCATACACTCTAGCTTAGTGGAGACAATATAAACACTACTCCTGTTAGTACCTTGTTTGACCGAAGAACATTATGTTATATGCTTAGAATAGAAGACAAAATAGAGGAGCCATTTTTGGTTACTAATTTTTTTACTGAAGTAGTGATTTTTCATTATCTCCTCTTGAGTTATTCTACTGCATTTACCGAACTTCTCGTCCATATTCACTAATTTGATCTTAAGAATCAAACAGAATAAGGCGTAATTAAAGCAATTAATGTATCATGAATGAATTTGAATTGGGAAGATTTGGAAAATATTATCAACTGATAATATTTTCGATTCAAATTATTTTGAGTCATTCATAATACAAAGATAAAAGAAACTGGTAATGTAAGTCCTTTTTTTTCTTAAAAGGTAAAGTATCAACTGAGAATGTGAAGTTTAAATTTTTTCATGGCATCCACATATGTCGCACGATTTATACTTGGAGAAAAAAAAACAAACATCTCAGTCATTTTCCACGCTATAGTTGTTTACGTTTCACAGATACTAAAAGAACTCATTAAAACTCGTAGTTAAAAACCATTAAGTAGTTCAATTAACAATAAAGTTTCAAAATGGAAAATATGAAAAAATCTCATAAGACCCCATAGAGAATGATTGAAAAAGCAAATAAAATACTGACCCATACAAGCGTACACAGATATCCACTTTTTTAAAATTGACTTTCTCGATCCAAAGCTTTTCAGTCAAGAAAAGTAAAATTAAAGGGTTGCAATAATCGAAGCTAAAAAGTAAAACGGCGATTCATATATTTATATAGACAGAGAAGCAGTCAAAATTAATTATTAATCTTTTTGTAGGCCCTCTATACACTTTGGAAAAGTGTCAAATATGGAAGAATAAGTCCAAGTTTCTAGCTTTACATTTAGAACTTTCATTTTAAATTGTATTTTAAAAATTAGACGGGCAACATATCTATTAGCGCACAAGATGACCGATTGAAAACAAACCGCTTGCGTGCATATGTTGACCATCTGTTCTTAAATGTCAATCTTCTTTGCTTTTTACTTATATTCCTCACATTCTTAATTCTTCCATTTCACTTAATGTCTGTTACTGATTTCTCTTGCAGACCAGATATTATTCTTAGATCCGAACTTATCTGGATCGAATGCCTACATGGACATTACTACTGTTGTGTAATCACAAACACAATCAGAAGTTTCTGTATTTCTCGTACGCTTCCTGTATGATATGCATAATCATTTCATACGACTGATAAAATATGCTAGTTTCACATCGACCATTATACTCTTTCGTATCAAAAGAAACACAAGAAATACTAGTTTTCTGCTAGGATTTCTGTCGCAGTCGATAGCATCATAGACTCATTGCTCTGCTATGATAAGCGAATTCTGTGGTACCCCACTGGAAAGCTTTGAATGCTGTCTTGAAAACGTCGAGACTATTGTACTATTCTAGTAAGATGCTTTCGATGACTTTTTTCTTTCATAAAAAGTTGAAAATCATATGTTCGCATGTTATCAGAAGCCCGCTATTCTTACGAATCACGAAGAAGGAAAATACGAAAGAAAGTATTCGATAGAAGAAGCAAATTTATCAAGAAGACGTGTTTTCACCCATTGTCTCTCCAATAAGTTTCGTCGATCGCATCATTGATGCAGCATTCTGATAAGATAATCGTGTTGCAACAGATCCAGCCGAGCACGATATTTAAGGACGAGAAAGTTCAACAACAAATATGTCTTTTCTTTTGCTTACTTAAAATTTCATGCACAAATAACTGTAAATTGACAGCAACGGAGTTTAGATTTAACGTTCACTGTTTAGCAGTGAGCTCCATGCAGTAGTATATGCCACGGTTTGTTTGAGTTGATAGATCAATGTATTCAAATCATTTATTTCTAAATTCTAAACTTCGTCTATATTGCATCTTGAAAATGGCAAGGAATTTGCCCTAGACTGAAAGGATAGGGTCTAGAAACCGAAATTCATCTGTGTCTGTCTGTCTGTCTATAACATTTGGTACAAGTGACCATTGCCGCAGTACGAATGATGACATCTATACTATGATTAACCATAGTCGTGGTTATTCGGACCATTATTTTGGTCATTAGAACTACTTTCGTGGTGATTTACACCATTGTATCGTGCATTCCTGTCGTCTCTATGGTCGCTGACCATAGAGATGGCACGAGTGGGCTAATGTTAAATATGGTTGATCATGCGGTCGAAATTAGGATAAATATGAAAGAAATGACTGTAACTACGGCCTGCGTCACGAAAGATATAATCAAAAATCCCTTAAAGACACTCTGAATGTTCACAAATGCGACACATCTGACCGTTTATTTATCAAAGCTATGGCTCAAAAGTGCAAAAATGTGCTCAAAATGGTCACAATAATAGTCCTCGTAGCCAAAGATGTTACCCGACTGACCACACACAGCGTTCAAAACACTATAGATATGATGATGTTGTCTGTATTTGTCGTCACATGTACCATTCTTGTGACCATTGTTCCTGTGTTTTTGAGATATTTTTGCACTTTATTGCTCGTTTTGAAACAGCCCTATGGTCCTTCAGACCCTATTTGTGATCATCTGGACCATAGTTAACATGTGGTCACTAGATTACAGAGACAGACGGACGCAGATGCACATCTTTTTTTAGACCACTAAGTCAGTCTAGGGTTAAGCTAATCGACTGTCAATTAGCGTTACTTGTCTATATAAAAATTTCAAAACTATATTCATTTAGGTGCTGCTGTGGCAAAGCCTCAACGAGCTCCAAATAAAATACTGTCATGTGCAATGTTTTCTTTTATACATCGATTAATATCGAACGATCAATTTCAATTATTTTGAATATTCGAATAGAACATTTGTTCTGACTGTGCATGCATGATTTCATCAGTATTTGAAACAATGGCTGTGACATTTTATTTAAAGACAGGCATATAATTGAATCGATGTATAATTGAACATATCCAAATATTTTCAGATCATCCATTAAAAGATCCTCTATTCAAATTTTACCCGCACATCAGTAATCACTGGCATAGATCATTACTTCATGTCATTCATATTTTTCATTTGTATTCAGTGA